GAATAGTCTTATTTGGATGCTTTAACCCAAACGTTTTGAATTTGAATCCATGAAATAATGGATTTTGTTTGTATTTTAAAAAAAAAAATATTCCTTTTTTTGTTAAAATTACAAGTTTTTTTATAAGTTGTATAGAAATTATAGGAGTTCATTTTAATAGATTGAATAAATTATAGATTGGATAATTTGAGACATTTGATGTTTTATTAAAGATTTTAGTGCGAAAAGTGAATTTTTTTAGTTGTATTTATTTTCAGTTACTTTGCGTGTGGCGGAATTGCACTCGGCATAGAATTTGTCTATTTTTAGCTAACTTGCAATAAATCTTTTTTGTTTTGTTTATTATATATTAGAATGTATGTGCAACTTTGAGGCTTTTTTTGTATTCGACTGTCGACAGAAAGTTTCCAAGTAAAATTTCACCCTCACGTGACCGGTGATATCAGATATAACGGTAAAAAATATTTTTTTCATCACCAAAACAAAAAAAGAAAAAATCAATTAAATTATTAAACGCAATTACCATGACCACTCTTTAATCCTATTATTAAATATACTATGCAAGAACTGAAGTTGACCAAACGAAATTAAAAATAGTAAATTTAAAAAAATAAATAAACATTTTTTTTATGATCTGAAGTACAGTAATTTTAAAGGTAAATAATTTATTGATATATTTATACATTATATAATTCACTTGATTTATAAGTTTGTCAAAAATGATTATGATGCATTATTTTTATAGAATTTTCTTGTCCTTAAGGTTGAAGATGAGGAAATCTATTTCAACCAACGATAATTATTAATAGTCTCATCAAGAAACGAAACCGATTTCAAATTTGATTAAACGGAACTTACCGCAAAAAATTCCTTTAAACTGAACAACCAACCAGCGTACTTTTGGATGACATGCTTCATCCTAAGTCGTTCGAAAAAGCTTTTTATTGGTAGCAAAAATGCGCAATATCAACTTATACTTTTATAATGGTGTGAGTGAATTAAGCGGAAATTTTCTTCTGAGACTACAGTTTCTCCATCTCCTTCTCTGGTAGATGCTCGATCTCACCATTACGACCCGTTACGCTTCTCATTCGAACTATGCCATAAAAAAGGATATCATCGCCAGATATTGGGAAAATCTATTTCGACAACGATAATTATTAACAGTCTCATCAAAAAACGAAACCGATTACAAAATTGGATTAAACGGAACTTACCGCAAAAAATTACTTTCAACTAAACAACCAGCCAGCGTCAAGAAATTCAACACACCTTAAAAAATGAATTCACTCGAGTCATTTCACCACACACTATACACACGAACTGGCCAAGAAAAACTCTTTTCTTTCTTGGCCAGTTCGTATGTGTATAGGGCGTGGCGAAATGACTCGTGAATTCATTTTTTAAGGTGTGTTGAATTTCTTGTAAGAAAAGAAGATAGAGTTTTCTTTGCCAGTTTTCTGCTATAGATATAAACGGCGAGAATAACTTCTGATACGACTAGAATTTGCCGTTCTCCCACGCGTATATCGAGGTGTGAATCTTTTTCTTCAGAAAGATCCTCGTTGAATTTACTGTCAATATGTTCACGTTTTCGACCTGCTGAGAACGAAATAGTCTTGTTTGGGAGAATATACTGTCGTCAAGAGCAAACAGAATCAAGCCTTGGTTTTTGTAAATGGTAAGAGCGTAAGAGTTCTGTAGCGCGATGACCTTTATGGAATATTGCGGCCACATGGTATCGTTTTTCGGTCCCCTTTACGTAGAAATGGTCAGAGCAAAGTGATTTCACATTTTTAGGTAAATTTTTTAGGTTCTGTAAGGCGATTGTATAATGTGATTAAAAAGCTGGAGAAGGAGATGATTTATGACCTTATCCTCGAGATCTGTGAGATGATGTGCTTTGTTAATACATGTGCAAAAATGCTAATTTTTAAAAATTTTATAAAGGATTTTTGGGGTAGAATATTGATAATATTTATAAGGAAATGTTTTTATAGTTCTATAGTTAATAAGCGGGATCTGCATAAAAATGAAATATTTTGATCGGTTTTGAGTTGATCATAGCAATCAATAAAATCTTGAAACCAAATAAAGAATCAAGTTTTCAAAATATTTGGACCTGTTATTTGAACCTGTTATAAACAATACTAAAGAGAAAACCCACATTTATTTATCCAAATTTATGAAACTCATTACAATCAATGGTTAACCATTTTAATCAAACTTTATTTTTTTTCCCATGATTTGTTCATCTTGTGTTTAACCTTTAATGTGCTATACCTATTTGGGGGTGGCTAAAGCCGGGTCGGGTTCGATCATAGTCCCTGTGACTAATAAATTGTGACAAAATAAGAAATCACATACCAAAAATTAAGTCCCCAGAATACTTGATAAAGATGTGACAAATATTTTTGCGAGTCACGGGATCGAACCCGGCTTAAAGTTAGCAATTGGTAGATCGGGACTATATATATGTTGTGCCTCAGATCGATTCTTGCCTCAGATTATAACTGACGCACCTAAGATTACAATCGTCAGGTGAGGTGCGTGATTTGATTCAATGATCATCTGAGATACCGCAGCTGTAATCTGAGGCAATCTAGTCAATTATAGTAAATGCGCATTGAGTCAATCATAAAAAAATTTTTTTTTAATAAAAAATGTAATTTTATAATTATAAAATAAATTTCAATTAATAAAACCGTTATGCGCAAAAAACATAAAAAACGTAAAAAAGCATTGTAAATTTTCTATTTTATTCAATTGTTTTTATATTAAGCCTTAACACTTTGCAAATTAAATTTTACCTAAATATAAAATGGTATACAATTATGCGACTTTCTATTATTTTTCGGTCCAGAAACAAAGCAACCATTTAGCTATGATCTTTGTTTTGACATGAACGCCCGCTATGACATCTACTCCCACATTTTTTGCAACGACATTTGTTATTATTACAATCACTTTTATAGTTACATAAGCCCCCTGATATTGATCCAACACTTTGAAGCCGTGAAGCTTCTCTTATTGATATTTTATCAGAAGGAATATTTTCTAGTTAGGAAAAAATGTTGTTCCAAGTGGTTCTAACTCACCAGCAGAATAACAGACTTCAATTATTCCAAACTTTGATCCAACTTGATATTTATCTTCAATTTTTTTCATAATTCTACATGGAACAGTAGGACGATCGGTACTAAATCTATCAATTTTAGGAATAGGTACTCTTACAAGATCTCCAACCTGATGTTCTATAATTCGTTTTTTCTTTTTATTCATTTGGTTTATCATTTTATTTCTATAATCCTCAAGATCTTGACGAGCAGTTCTTCTCAAAATTTCATGTCCTGTGATTGTAGCTGGTGTTGTAATTTCATTTGTAATATCAAGAAGAATAGGATCAATAACGCGATGGTGAAAATCTAAAATGTAATTATAATTAAATAATTAGTTAATAAAAAAAGTATACTTTGTTTAATTATAATATCCAATGTTTGTAATACTAATAGTAAATAAAATAATAAAATTTAAGTATAACAATAAATAAAAATAAAGTATTTATAAATACCTGTTGATGTTACAACTGGTACCGCTAATACTGATTGTGCTAGTTGTGCCGATGGTGCTAATGGTACTGACTGTACTGGTTGTACTGATGGTGCTAATGGTACTAATGGTACTGATGATGCTAATGATGTTAATGATATTGACGATTCTGATGATGCTAACGGTGCTAATGGTGCTGACAGTACCGCTGGTACTGATGATGCTAATGGTGCTAATGATACTAAAAAATCGAAAAAAAAAATAAATTAAATTAAAATTGTTAATTTTAAAATATTTTTGCCTTATTCAATAATAATAGATAATAAATAAAATCTAACCTTGTCCAAATACTATATCATCATCTAAATTTTCAATATAATTATCAAATATTTGTATAGTATCTGGAATATTTTCTTCATCGCGAATACTATTTTTAAATAAATTATCAACTAATGTACAATTACCACGCGGTTTAGATCCATAAACAAGTTCATATGGAGTTTTTTTATGAGATCGACACCATGAATTATTCATAGCCAAAATAATAAATCTAAGACCAAAAAAACCAATCATTTCGTCTAGTATCCTCTTTCCACTTTCCCAATTTTTGTTGTAAAATTCTATTAGCGCGTTCAACTAGACCTTGAGATTGTAGATGTTGAGGACGTCCATTTATAATCTTTACTGATGGCCATAATTCAATTAATTCCTTAATTACTTCTGCACAGAATTCCTTACCATTGTCTGATTATAATATAGTTGGAGAAAATCCTATAAAATGAAAAAGATCGAAAAGATATACAGCAACTTCAACTGCTCTTTTCGAAGTGAGAGCCTTAACCCATGAAAATCTTGTAAAATGATCTCGTGACATATATATTTAAATTTAGCATCATACGATAAATCAATAAGATCAATCTAAAAAAAATAAATAAATTAATAAATTAAAAAAATAATATAAAATTAAATATTCTAAAAGAACAAATGATAATTATTATAAAAAGTAATAAATTGTTATTTACTTGAATACGAGATAAAAAATCACCTGCAATAATAGGTTTTGCAGCTAAGGGATAAAATGATGGTTTTCGTATTGCACATATTGCACAATTATTAACAAATTTTTCGACAATATTTTGCTTTATTCAACCCCATTTTTCTATAATTGATTTCCAAGTTTGTTTTTATCCTTTATGTTGTATAACTTCAGCATGAGTTCAGCATAAAACTTCGTACATATTTTCAACTACTAATCAGTGCTTAAAATAGAATTTGAGTTTTATCGGCTAAGGATCCGGGATAAAAATATTTTACCAGCTAAAGATCCGGAATGAAAATATTTTACCAGATTTTTCCAGAATATTATAAAATTTACCGGCTAAATAAATATTTTAAGTAAAAGTAAAACAAAATATTTATATATTCTTTATTAAAAAAAAATTTAAATTCTTCTTTTACATGTTCCATTCCAAATTTGTAATGCTTTAGTAAAATCAAATTCAGATATATCTTTTTCTTCTAAACCAACCATCATCCAAAAATTTAATGTTTCATTATTTAAAGAATTTCGCAAATCAGTTTTTATCAAATTTTGCTTTGAAAATCCACGCTCACAATCAACTGATGAAAATGGAATAGAATATATAATTCCTAATAATTTGATAATATTTGGAAAAGTATCATAATAAAATTCAAATAATCTTAGAAGCAATACTTCAATTTTTATATTTTTAAAATTTGAATATACTATTGCTTTATATCCAAACTATTCTTCACAAAAATTATTGATTTTTTTTTTTTATAAAATTCTGATAAAATATTTAACTCTTCTTCCCCATATTTTGCAAGCGCTTCTTTACTATTTGGCCAATTTGCATTATCAAGTATTTTCATTGAATTAAGTAAAGGTCTATCAGAAAATCTTTCTTGAATTTCTGAAACAACAGCTGATGCAAAAGATTGAATATCAACAACTAATTCTGCTTCATAATGTTCGTCTCATGTTAATTGATGTGCACCAATATTATAATTTTCTCCCAATGGTATATTTGATAAAAATCTATTTAAATTTTCTCCTAATAATAATCTTCCTTCATTATTAAAATCCAAAAATTCCTGCTGAATTTTATTAAGAGTTAATTCTATTACTGGATCTATATCAGATATTTGAATTTATTTTCATTGAAAAACCTTGCTTAAAGTTGAAAGATACCCAAGAATATCCCATAAAAAATGGAGAAAAGCAAGAAGTTTTCAATTACAGATCTCTATATATAAAGAAATAAAACTTTGTCATTGAAAATTATTAGTTATTATTGCTATTGTTTTCAATAATATATTCATCAAAGGCTTAATTGAAAGACATAGATTTTTGACTGCTTCATATTAAGAAAGCCATTAGACTTCATAAATTTGTTTAATTTTCAAAATTGGATGTTCTAATATTTCTTAATATTTGTGTAAAATATCTACTCTTTTGCTAGAATTAGAAAAAAATTATAAATTGATTTTATAATATGTTCAGCATGCTTGCAAAAATCCACTTTCTTTTCTGCTGAATTGCAGGCTAAAGCTAGCCTATATGCAATGCAATGTATTATAAATAAACACTCATTTCTTTTTTTAATTCTTGATGCTACTCCTGTGATTTTCCTAATATAACACTTGCTCCATATAAAGCAAATGATATAAGTTTATTTGTTAAACCTTTAAAAAAAAATTGTATTAATTATATAATTAATAAAACAAATGAACTACTGATTTAATACCTTTTTTATCAAATAAATCAACAATTACTTCAAAAATAGTTTTTGAATCTTTGTTTTTTAATTGAAGTAATTTTAAAAAACGGATTTTAATCTTTTTACACAAACTATATTTAACATATTTAATAAGATAAAGTTCATATGAAATATCTGTACTTTCATCAACTATAATACCAAATGCAATAGCTTCATTTAATTCTGTCCAGATAGTTTCCTCTATTGAAATTGAAATAGCAGATAACATTTCACATCTAGACACATTATTTTCATAATTAATTATACTAAAAGCTGATATTAATTGAGAATATCCAAGAATTCTACAAAGTTTTATAACTTCAAATAACTTTTTTAATGAAATATCATTTTTTGCTAGCCAAAAAATTATTTTCATTAAAGAACTAACATGATTTTTAGAATTATTTGAAACTCTAATAAATTTTGCTTTTGATATCTCAAGACTTGTTGCATCAATATGATCTTTTGTTGAAATATGTTCTGATAAAGCAGAAGTTTTAAAATTTTTTGAACCTAATTTAAATCATTTTCAGTTATTAATGTAATTATAAATTAAATAAAATATAAAATAAAAATTATATAACTTTTGCATAATAAGTAAAACATTAGATTTTTTGAATTATTATATATTAGCCATTTGTAAATTTCTAACTATTCTTCTTGAAAACTTTCAGTCTTCTTTTTTGTTAAGAGGCACATCTTTTTCTTTTTAAAATTTAAATTTTTTTGTAGTTATTTATTAATATTGGTATAAGTTTCTTCTAAATCTGAATCTATAACATTAAATTCATTATCATTAATTTTGTCTATATTTTCATTAGAAATTTTTTTTTAAAATATTGTTCAATAGACATTTTTAAATGATAATTTATTATGCCGATATGCAAAAAAATTTGCCAGACAGAAATCTATCAATCATAAAAATTATCTGGAAAAAAATCCATTACAAAAAAATTTTACCAGGGATTTTTTAAAAATTCTGGATTTTGCCAGAATTTAAAATACTATTTTAAGCATTGCTGATGGATTTTTTTGTCTTTTTATTTTTTTCACTTTTCCTCTTTTTTTATCAATATCTTTATATAATATATTTTTTAGAGACAAAGAAATTAAAAAGTTTAACAACTTCAAGAGTAAAGAATACAGACAAAAAGATTTAATAAAGAAGCAAATATATTAAATCTATTATCCAGTTTAATACTAATAAAGAAGAAGGTTTTTCTATTACATGATACAAGAAGTTAAATTAAATAATGAAAAATTACAAAAAGAATCTGTGCATATATTTTTAAATTCAACGTAAAAAAAGAAAAAATCCAATTTGAATATACATGAAAAATCAGAAATTCAATTCAAATACAGTCAAATTAGATAAATACAGATAATCAGCAATTATTAAATAAATTATATTTTTTTAAATATATATAAGAATGACCTCATAAGAAGGTGATTAGTTAACCTAGCAATAGGATTACTAGTAATAATAGGCTGCATTACAAGCCGTAGACTGGGCTGATCTATTTGTCATTAAGGTTAGAGGCTGGGTTCAATTCTCAGGTGTATTTAATGATATGGTATAACAGTCATTACCTTTATAGTACAGTTCTATATGAAGATTGTAACTTTCAGGGTATAAGCCTTATAGGATTGTTTAATAATTATAATTTAATTTTTATATTAAAGTTTATTCAAGTAATTACAAATTGTATTTTTTATAATATTTATTCTATATACAGTATTACTAAATAAATGTTTCATAAAAATTATAATGATATAATATAGTTATAAAAAATAATTAATTATTTTAATTATTTTCATCTATTATAAAACAAATTAATATAAATAAATTAAATATAAATGACCAAGATTATATTTAAATTACTTACCTATTTTATAATTTGTAATATTTATAGCTTCTATTAATTAAAAATATGTATGTTAAATTAAAAATATTATTTGATTATATATATATATTATAATAATTACCAATACTTTGACTAATTTCTAAACTTTTAATTTCAAGATCTAAAATTTTATTTAATCTTTCAGTAAAATCAAGTAAATGACTTGTAGATGATCTTTAATAATACTTAGATTATTATTTGATTTTGTTTAAATGCTTATCTGATTTATAAAATTCTATTATATCATTTGTATATTTTTTATCAAACTTTCTACTTCTAATATTATAAATCCATTCATTAATAATCTCTTTAATTTCTAATGCAGTTGACCTTTTTAATGGATCCATATTCCAAAATTTTTTCATTAATTTTATATAACATTTAGAAATATTTTCAATAATTTTAGGACTTTTACCTTTATAAATATCTAAACCAAATTGAAAATTATGAGCTTCATTATTAAATGAAGAAACTTCTGATATAAATTCCCATATAATCATAGAAAAACTATATATATTACTAGCTAAAGTATAATATTAATCTATTAAAATTTCAGGAGTTACAAATGGTAAAATACTATAAATATCATTTTTATTAGATGTTTGAAAATAATTTACAGGTTTATATAATTCTAAATCACTAATAGATAATACTTTATTTCTTATATTTAAAATATTACCATAATGAAAATTACAATGAATAAGATTAATTTTATGTATTTCTTCAAGTTCACTAATAATATTATTTAATTGTAATAATTTGATAATCTATTTATTCTTAACTATATTTTATAAATTTTTTCTCAAATTATTATTTTTTGCATATTTTATTACTATCATATAATTTAAAGTATTTAGATTTTGAGTAAATCTATATAATTGAATAAGATTTTCATTTGAATAATTTTTTAATTACTTATAATATTCATAATGATATTTTTACCAAATAAAAATAAATTAATTTAAAAACTAAAAATTAAAATTAAAAATAATTAATAATTTATATTTTATTTAAAAATTCTTCATTTAGATTTGATGATTTATTAAAACTTTTAAGAATTACATCAATACTACCACTTCTAATCCAATTATTATCAATATATGATTAAGATTTAATAAATCTATCAGTCTAAATTACTTTATATATAATACTAAATCCTTCTTTATCAAGATATTCAATTTATTATAAGGAATTCATTCTAATAATTATCTTTTATTTTGAGTATTTATTTGAATATCTTGAATAAATTTATTAATAAATTTATTTTTACTAGTTCAATTAGAAAAACTTGCTGAAATAAATCAGAATAACATTCTTTATATCAATAATATCCAGTTTTATTTTTATTACAATTTGAGCAAATCTCTTTTTTTCTAAATAATATAATTTTATATTATATTTATTATTTTAATATTATTTTAAAACATAAAATATAAGACTTACTTAATAAATATTTTATTAATAAAAATAAAAATAACTTACTTTCTAATAAAATTTATTTTTTTAAATAAAAAATTTAGTTGACTTAACTTCAAATTATAATAACAGATATAATTAAATATTGATAATCAATAAAATAACTTGCTCTCTAATAATATTTATTTTTTTAAATAAAAAATTTGGTTAACAATATATTTTTGTAATAAATATAATTAAATATTAATAATTAATAAAAATAATTTACCATCTATATATAACAAATTATTAATTATTTTTTTAAAAAAAAATTTAGTTAATTTTAAATTATAATAATAAGTATAATTTTAATCAATAAAAATAATTTACAATCTAAATTATTATAAAAAATTAGTTAATTTTAAATTTCAGTAATAAGTATAATTAAATACTGATAATCAATAAAAATAACTTATTATCTATTATATAATAAATTATTAATTATTTTTTTAAATAAAAAATTAATTCACTTTAAATTATAGTAATAGGTATAATTAAATATTAATAATCAATAAAAATAACTTACCATCTATTATATTATTAATTTTTTTAAATAAGAAATTTAGTTAATTTTAAATTACAGTAACAAGTATAATTAAATATTAATAATTAATAAAAAATAGTTTACCATCTATTATATAATAAATTATTAATTATTTTTTTAAAAAAAACTATAGTTAACTTTAAATTACAATAACAGTATAATTAAATACTGATAATCAATAAAAATAATTTACGATCTAATTGACTTTAAATTATAATAAAATTTATATTTATATATTAATAATCAATAAAAATAACTTACAATCTAAATTATTATAAAAAATTTTAGTTATCTTTAAATTACAGTAATAAGTATAATTAAATACTAATAATCATTAAAAATAACTTACCATTTATTGTATTATTAATTATTTTTTAAATAAAATATTTAATTAATATAAAATTATAATAACAAGTATATTAAGTATTATACTGATAATCAATAAAAATAATTTACCAGCTATTATATTATTAATTATTTTTTAAATAATAATTTAGTTGACTTTAAATTATAGTAACTAGTATAATTAAATATTGATAATCAATATAAATAACTTAAAATCTAAATTATTATAAAAAATTTAGTTGACTTTAAATTACAGTACAAGTATAATTAAATACTGATAATCAATAACAATAATTTACAATCTAAATTATTATAAAAATTTAATTAATTTTAAATTACAGTAATAAGTATAATTAAATACTGATAATCAATAAAAATAATTTACAATCTAAATTATTATAAAAAATTTAATTGATCTAAATTATAATGAAATTTATATTTAAATATTAATAATCAATAAAAATAATTTACAACCTAAATTATTATAAAAATTTTTAATTGTTTTTAAATTACAGTAATAAGTATAATTAAATACTAATAATTATTAAAATATTTTACCATCTATTATATTATTAATTATTTTTTAAATAAATAATTTTAGTTAACTTTAAATCATAATAAAAAAATATTAATATCTCACTTTCTATAATATTATACAGAATATTAATATTTTTATTTAAATTATAATTTATTGAATTAATAAAAATAATTTACCATCTAAATTATTAACATTGTATTTTTAATATAAATTTGTTTATAAATTATAATAAATATTAAATAAAAATTATAAATAAAATAATTTACTTACTAAAATATCATTAATTATCATTAACAATTTTTATATAATAAATTAAGTTTAAATTAAAACATAAAAAAAAAAATAACTTACTCCCTATAGTATTATTAATTATTAAATATTAGTTTAATTAAATTTAAATTATATAAATTAAATATAATAAAAATTAAATATTTTACAATCTAAATATTATTATTATTAAAAAAAATATTAATTATTAAATAATTATAATTTGATTGTAAATAATTAATCAATAAATAAAGTTTATTATCATTTAATTCTTTAATGTAGAAGTATCTGAAACTGATTCTATTATTATTGAGAAATTTAAAATTATTTACTATTATTATTACAAATCTAATATTTAAATAACAATTATTAAGTATAAATAATATATTATTATATTGTTAATTAATTATATTTACTATTATATTTACTTTTATCACTTGAAACTAGTATTATATTTCAAGTTTATTAAAATTTTTGGTAAATAAAAATATAAATAACAAATTAAAGTATAATAGTTATTATTATATTTATCTTCATTACTCAAGATTAATTCTACATTATAAAATAATTAGCAAATTCTTTTAGTATTGGTTAATTATTTATAGAAATAGTAATATTTACCTTTATTAATTGAAATTATTCTATATTTGAATTTGATAATTTTAATTTTTAGCAAACAAAAATAAGAATTATTACCTTCTAAAGAGAAAGCTTTATTAGCATCCGAAACTGGCTCTAATGTAAATTCAATGAATAAAAATAAAGATTATAGAATATCATCTAACCATTGACATATTAACTATCATGCCATTTGTTCTTTTATATATTTCAAATTTATTAATTGGTTATTAGTTAATATTATAATTACCTTTATAATTTAAATTGATTTTATTCAAAACAATTTAATATAATTGATGAATGATAGTAATTTACTAATATGATTTATACCTTTCAATTCTGGATTTTTTTCCATATTTATTAAAATAAAATATTGCAAATTATATAATGGTATTTGCAATAATAATTTGTATCATCATATTTAACTTCGATTGTAAAAATTGTATTTGAACTCGAAACTTCATTAAAACAATGAAATAAAAATCAATAGTATCTGGGTTAAAGCTTAAAAATAATTTCGTCAAATATTCTTACCTTAAACATAAAGATTTTATAAATACATCGTAAATTTAAAATTTTATTAAATTTTATAGTGAAAATAAATTAAGAATGATTTATAATTAATATTTACCTTCAAACGTGAAATCGTTATTGGCAATTGAATCTAGTTTTGCTTAAAATAGAATAATTTAATGAATTATAATATCCGATTTTATTTTATCATTGGAGAATGATTCTAAAATGCTACCTTCTAATGAAGAAGTTTTCTTCAAATCCGAAATCCGTTCTAACGTTTTGCAAATTATTTTATTAAAAAAAGATAAAATTTTAAAACACGTTTAAACTAATATAATATTTCTTTTTTATTCTTTATTTATGTATAGGTAAATATAATTTACCTTTATCGTCAGTCATTGTTAAAATATAAAGAAAATTTTTTTTAAAATTTTGTCATTTCTTTCAGCTAATCATATACTTTTTTATTAATGTATACTTGATCATTTCGGCAAATGACCGTGAAGATCTTTTACATTTTTTTTTTTTTTTTTTTTTTTTTAAATAAAAGGTAAAATTTCTTTCGGATATCAAATGGGAATTTAGAAATTCTTTTTTCATGATTATGTTATTGCGAATTTACTTTAATAAAAATAACAGAAAATTTTTATAAACTATACTGCGACATAGGCGAAACGAAATTAATTTTTTAATTTTTTTAAAAAAAAAAAAAATAAAAAAAAAATTCCTAAAAAAAACTTTTGCGCAGACGATTTTTTTTAATCAATTAAAGGGAACGGACTTTTCAAAGAGGAGATACTATAGAAGCAGTTTTTTTTTATTTGAGATTCATAGGCATCGATTTAACGTTTTTATAAAATATATTTATCGCAATAAGAGATTCTCGCATACATGAGTTTCATATTGGTTATTTACATCCATTTTTTTAAAAAAGATTTCTTGCATTATATTATATTCATTGTTGTACTTGACTGATTATCGACACCTAACCTACATAGAAAAATAAGGATGAAAAATATCAATATTTTGTGTACTTTGCAATTTTCTTTAAAAATTCACGCTTTAAAAAACAATGCAAATATAAAAAAATGTTTATTTGAAAAAAAATTTCTTTATATACACGATGTAAAGATTTTATTTTTTAGATAAATGATACATAACAGTATTTTTCAAAGGTAATTCTTAATTTTTGATAAAATCAATGGTGAAGATTGGATTTGAATAACATAAATATATAATTATAAACTGAAACATGTTTAATCTAATTGTATAAAATAATCATTTATTCAAATTCTCATAAAATTTTATTGTTACTTTTTTACATAAATTCTTTCACCGATTTACAGGAAAAAAAAAAATAATAATGCTGTGAAATACAAAAAAGAAATTTGAAAAAATTTATTTTCTTTTAGTAAATAGGCCTCAACTTTGAAAGAAAGAATTTTCATTCGTAATTAAAACTTTCTAATTTTAAATTCAAAACTCCGGAAATTTTTTAGAAATTAGATTTTCCCTTTCAAATTACTACTTGAATTAATTATTGGAGTTGAAAATTAGAAATAATATTTTTTTTATTTTCTCATATTTATGACTATGATGTAAAAATAAGACAAAAAAGTTCTGTCTTCTAAAATTCATATTTATCAACAAAAAAAATTCAATGTTTATACATTCAAGTTGAATGAACTAACATGTTTTATTATTTTAAAACACTTACTCTTAGGATTACGCATACCTAATATTGTTTGAAGCAAAAAAAATTATACGGAGTTTAGTATTTTTCTTTCTTACACGAATAACCTTTCAGTTCAAAATGAATACTAATTATAGTTTGTTCACAAAGCAAATTAGCCACGCCTCTCGTCAGATGTTGTCGTTTGAAATAAGGTATGTAAAATATGCCGGGTTGCTTCGCCTCAAAATTAATAAATATTAGAATCGTTGTGTTTTTTACTTTCTTCGCTATGCTTACAAGTATTCTTCAAAAAATTTTTAAATTGAAATATTGATGGATATCGTGAGCAGATTTCATGCATAATGTAGAACAATGCGTTTAAATTTAATGTGATCCAAAAAATAACGAGTTCAAATTTATATAAGCTTTATAAAATATTCATATGTGTCAATTTCATTTATTGAAATGTTTTACCGAACTTGCCAGGTAAAAAAAAAATTAAATTATCATAATTTTCATTCAAGAAGACATCTTAACTTGGCAAAGAGCGGAAGACGCATTATCAAAGATATGATTGAAATATTTCTAAAAAAAAAAAAAAGAAATAAGATTTAGTAATAGACTACCAAACAAAAAAAAAAGAATATTTGTTTGGAGAAAGACTTAATTATTGCCATACGTTTCAATCTCTCAATCTCTTCAAAAATTCTCCTAGCCGAACCATAACTCATTCCAAAGGAATAAGTTACATCAAATGTGACGTAAAGTAAATCCCTTCCGATTAGCTTTTGAGATAAAAAACTTTCCAATTCATAATGAGTAATGTTATATCGACGCATTTTTGATACAAATTGATTCCTAAAATGATTCTTAACATCCGTTTGTGTCCATTTATCCAAGATTTTTGGATCTGGAGTATTTGGAGGTACTAAATTTATAATGATGATGATGAAAATTTTAATTCTAGATTACATCGACTAATAAAAATTTTGAAATATGATATTACCATCAGTCACTTCAATCACTTCAAGCATTTTAACTAATTTGATTAATTAAATTTATTTTTATACGACTCTCTTGTTAAATGTACCAGATATCACCTCGGGTATAAAAGATAAAAAAAAATTTGCTTGCGTGATCGACAATTAATGTATTGTTCACACTGACGCAACGATCATCAAGACTGTGCGACCAACAAATCCGAAGAAAATCAAAAAAAAAAATTATGTAATGGTCATGAAAAAAAAAAAGGAAAGATTTATAATGATAAGAGTGAATAAAAAAGTATTGTTTTATTATTTATGTAATCTTACGGAAAAGTTACACAAATAGTTTCGGTGTTTGCGCGAATAGAAAAGAAAATAAATCATCCATTAGTTCTTACACATACTATTTTACGACCATTTGTTTTTTTCGTTCTCGGTAAGGGTAATTATTTTTATATTTATAAAAGTAATATTTATATAATAAAAATTATGAATTATGAACGATGGTTAATCTTCTCTAATATAATATATATGAGAATTTTCTGTAACAGCAGTGGTGGTGGCGGTGAAGTTTGATCGTTGTATTACAATTTTCGCTTCGTTATTAATGCATGTTATATTGATGCCAAAATATAATTCTTATTCAATTGCAGAATACTTTTCTCGCAAAAAATGAAATAATTAAAATTAAAAAGAATTTCCTTGATAATAAGTATGAGATAAGAAAGACTTTCAACTTCACTTTAAATTTATTTTGGACAAAGGATGTTATAAATTTGGTAATTATGGATGTTCTTACAACAGACCCTTTCCACGAAATTTATGCCTGCTCACTTTCTTTACAAACTTACAAGGTGCAGCGCAACATTTCGCATTTTGTCCATCTCTAAAAAACAATCGCGACATACAAAGAAGATTTCAATTGTTTATCCGGTCTCCTTTTGCATTAGGCTTACAATGGATCTTGAATAAATTCTTGTCTCTCATTACTTGAAGGAATAGAATTAATCCCATGTAACTTTTTTGGATTATGTTATGTCATTGAAAATTCCATAATTTCGAGTGAGAATGAATATAAATATAGATGTAATTAATACAGTTTACGCTCTAATTTTTACCCTAAGCATAACCTTAAGTCGAATCTAGCTTCAACTTTCTAACTTTAACGCTGAAAAAAAAATGATTCTGCGTTTCGGCCTTTTCGCCTAATAAACCTTACCATTCAACCGATTTCATTAATCTTGCGTGTTATGTATTATCTAGGTTGAACGTCCCATTTCTTTCTTAAAATTAGAGTTTGTAGGAAGAAGAATAAAAAAAAGTTCATTGTTAACAATATTAAATACTGCGGTTAGATGAACAATTATGACGTCGGTCACGTGTTTATATACCAGTTTTTTTTTTTTAAAAAAAAAAACGAAACTTAACGCGCAATTCACAAAACCTGATACAACACAACAATTAAGTATGAAAACATATACACTAAAGTTTAGATGAATCATCCCAATTACCAGTGAGAGTAAAGCAAAACCATATATGGAATCATGCGAGAAAAAGTCTTTAAAATTTAGTCGTTCTTGCTTACTGCGGCAGAGGTATAATGCAAGTGACGTTAAATGAATTAATTATATTACGCATCACCAGCTGATATCATAATCGATTATTAGTAATATAAAAAAAAAAAAAGAAAACATAAATTCTCTCTTAACTTTCACCTCAGTTAAAATGGTTGCTTCAGAAAACAAAAAATTTTTTTATAATGACGGAAGTGAATACACATTTGATTTTGAAAATTTTATCAAGAATGAATTAGGGCTTGGAAAAAAACCCGGTAAACAACCCTCGGATCATTTAAATATTCTAACCTATCTTTATAATTTTTATGTTTTTTTTTTTTTTAAAAGTAGATATTGCAAAAAGATCTAAAATAGTTTGTCAAGATTATCTTCGAGGATCTTGTCATAGAGTTACGACTTGCAAATACCAACATAAGATCAGGAAAGTTGTCGTTTGTAAACATTGGTTACGCGGATTATGTATGAAAGGAGATGAGCGATGCGATTACTTGCACGAATATGATTTGTCAAAAATGCCCAAATGTATTTATTATGCATTGCATGGAGAATGTAATTCACCAAATTGTATTTATTCACATAATGATATTGACTGTGAGAGATGTTCGTGGTATGACCGCGGATTCTGTAAAAACGGTAAATTGCCTTCGCAAAGGTTCATTTATAAATTGAGAAAGATCAACATTTTTGATCTTTCTTTATACTTTATAAGGACCCACATGTTTTAGAAAACATGTAAAACAAATTGCCTGTCAATTGTACTTGGCCGGATTTTGTCCCCACGGTTCTAATTGTTTCAATGGACAGTAAGTTTTTTTTTTTTAAAAAAAAAAGGACCTTTTTTATTTTTTTAACGTACTTTTGGATAGCCCTAAAGCAGCTGCCGACCGTGGATATCAAGATTACTTTTTATCAAATAAAGAGAAATATAGGATGATGAATTTTATCAAGGAAGGTTATGGCAATATGGTGAACGTCAATTTTCTTAATCATTATTTTATTTTGATAGAATTTTACGATTAAGCCTCGTTTTCTATATACAGTCTGAAGCGTTTGGCGCTCAAAGTCGTACATTTTTCCCACACAAAGATTTTTTCTGCTTTAATGTAATAATTACTTTAAAATATTATCATGATTTTTTGTTTTATATTTTACAGACATATAACAATTTACTTTTTCGTATATAAATAGTGCGGAGAGAAGGGTCATTTCGCGAGAAATTGTCTTGTTTAACTTAATTTTCTTTGGTTAGTATGTACAGTATGTAATTTTTGTAATCTCTATTCTTAATATTAATGATATTTAATAATAATAAGAATATTTTCACTGCAGATTTATTGATACGAACGAAAGAAATCATTTTTATCACATGATTTGATCATATTTAATAATTGTATATAATTCTAAAACTTGTAAAAGATATTCGCAGTTTTCCTAAATTATAAATTTAACACAAAATTATTATTAAATTTAATAAAATATGCTTTAAACTTGCTTTAAACTTAATGTTAAAAAAATAATCAATTTTAAGAATTTCTTTATCGCAATCATTACTAACCGGATTCCTACCCAAACACATATTTAACATGTCTTTTATGCGAAATCGATTAGAATTATTATTAACATTTTTTCATATAATTAGCAATTTCAATCTTATCGATTATTTTAAATCTTGTGTAGTGAATAAATTTATGTACTGTATATTATAATATTTAGGTTATTTGAGAAATTAAAAGTATTTTCCTCGATTGAACGGTAATTTCAAAAAAAAAAAAAAAAAATAATAATAATAATGTTAAATATTCACTTCCAGTAGAAATTATGAAACCGTGTGTGAACAACTTTTGAAAATCTGTTACAATTTCTAGGCTCTTTACTAAAATTTACGAATTATTCTATCCATCATGAATAATTATCTGAACACACATTTCGAATATCCTGCAAATTTTAATTAGATTAAAAATACCTTGCGAAGATCAAAATCTTCCAAGAATAATTAATGTATTATTTAAACACTTGATTTACCAATATAGCAACTTTTCCAAAAGAATTAATTTGTTTTCTTTAAATTCAATTTTATTGTTTGACTACTACATGTGAATGATCATTTATTGTGAATCCTATTTTTCACTGTACGTGGAACGCACACTCAATCTGAAGCTTATTCCAACTAAAATCGATTTTATTCTTTTAACAATATTTATCTACAGCCTTCGTGAAATAATTATTACATATTAAAGTTCGTTGGGTTATTAAACGATCGAGTCTTTAATCAACGTCAAAATAGATACGTTGACGATATTTAGCGCGTTTAATGCACCCGTAAATCATGCAATCGTATTTGATCATTCATATTACTGCGACATCATGTAAAATTTATGATGTGATTAATTCTTGACCGCAACAAATAACTTAATAGGCATGACCCATTGGGCTGTTTAGGATTGAATTCATGCTATAAATTTCACCTGGCATGAGAATTTTTTATTTATATAGTTGTAACACGAATTTGCAATTTGGCTTTTTTTAGAGTGTATTCGTAAATAGTATATGATATCAAATACATGAAATCTGAAATAAACTGTCTAAAATTATTGAAACTCCCTTAAATCACGAAATCAAAATATTATATAATCAAAGACTATGGCTATAATCAGGATTGCTCACTTCACCTGAATTACTACTTGAACGATTTTTTTTTTGCCCGTAACAAAGTGAAATAATAATTTTGGCATACTAAAGTTTGATTAATGCAAAAAAATTTAAAATGCAATGTGATGTTTAAACTTGGGATCCAAAATTGCAAATAAATACTTGCAATGAAGATGAATGTTTTGACATCACGTGATGAGAACGCTATCTATGAATTTTCAATTTTACGTTGGATCTTTTCAATATTGCGTAATTAAATACTGCAAGGCAATTCAACATTATTTTTTTCCGTTATTTTAGCTGGTTAGTTTTTTAAGAAAGCCAGCAAGGAGGAGAAACAGATTATTTTATGTAAGGTGGAAACTCCTCCTCGACAAGGAGAAAGATAATTTAACCGCCGTCAATAGAAAGATTAATGTTAATGTCAAGGACGAACTTGATTACTATATTATTGCTAAAATACGTTATTGAATTTTTTAAAGTTTCGGATTTTTTAATGGATGAATCTTTGGTATTAATCAAGGAAACTAAATTTTTCAAAAATACTTTTGATAATTGGTATAAATTCAATACATATTGTTTATTATAAAATTATACAAGTTAAAACGAAAAATTTTTTTTCGGAATAAACAACGATAAAAATGATGATAAAACCATCTACTATAATGAGTTGACATAGTTTTTGTATATCGTATTCATTCATCTGAAAACGTTGAAAAACGACTAGTAGCCTAGAAAAATATATATAGAATTTATGAAATCATTTCCTTGTAAATTCGAAATTATATTCAACACTTAAAAGTACGTAAATTAACAATAAAAAAGTTTTACTGCGCTACATCAAAAAATGATGAATTTGCGCGATAATTTATATCAGTACGTCGTTAGACACTCATCTCACATGAAGATGCTTTAAGAATATGAAATTTTCGTTATATATATTGTGATAAAATTGAATTTTAAATGCAGTTCTTCATTACATTATTAATTTAAAATTTCCTTTTAAATTAACAACGCCTGCGATAGAATTAATGTCTGATTATTTAATATACTAACTATATTTGGTAGTAATGTTTCGGAGTTTATTGAATTTATTCTTTTTCAGTATACTTTAGAAACGGTATCACAAGTAAGCACATGAATTTACCATAAGGTAACAATCAAAACACTATGTGGCACAAGTATGACTATTGGTGTTTTCACCCACCCATTTTTCAATGTTAAATGTATTAATAATTTTTTATTTAGTCGCATTTCAATAAAAATTTAAATTCTGAGCTAAAAAAAATATTATGTAAAAGACCAAATCAGGCTATGCAAAATAAATAAATATGTACATCATTATTAAATCACCAATAGCGGATCTTTTTTAGCTCTTAATAGTTTCTTATAATTTCTTATAAATTCGAAAAAAAATTATTTCTAAAACCAGTGAACAAGACACATTTTTTATAAAATTACATACATAGTCACTTATCTATATAGGCAATAGTCTAATCTACCCAATACCTTTTGGGGTTATACAGATTATTCAAAAAAATTTGACATTTTCCTTTTTTTTTGCGGTGAAATAAATTCTGTGATAAATTAATTAACTATATTTAGAACTTTCTAGTTTTGATCCTAACTTTTAATTCATCGCAATGTCTAACGATAGTATAATGTGTTTTCATAGGGGCATTCTCAATCAATTCAACGTCATATTTTCGATACAACAATACCATTAATGCTTTCAATTCCATGATCGCCAAATTTCGTCCCTAAAAAAAAAAAAAAAAAAAAAAGGAAATATTAGCGTATTTTAAAATTATGATAAAAGTGAAACATTAACAACAGAATTGATGACTCACTGGACACATCCTTGCACCGCCTCCAAATTGGAATGCTAAATTTTTATCTTGACCATTAATAAATCGATCAGGATCAAATTTTTCAGGATTAGTCCAATTAGATTTATGCTTATTTATACCCCTTTGGTTTATAAAGAACTGGGTTTCGGCAGGAATAATGTATTTATCTAAAGTTTCTTCTTTAGTATTCATCCGATAATTAATATCTACTACTGGGAGAAAACGGGAGACTTCTTTAATTACTGCATCACAGTAAGTTAGTTTATTAAGATCTTCGAAAGACAATTTTTGATTGATTGAAATTTTTGAATCGATTTCTTCAAAGAGTCGTTTCTTTACTTCGGGATAACGAGCCATACAATAACTGATAAAACAAATTGTCACCGCCGTAGGATCAGTACCTCCAGAAACTGCTTCCATAAAATTACCAACAATGGCTTCATCTGTCATCGGTTCCATATTAGTTTCATTGGAAATTTGCTCAGTAATATCTCTTTCGGTGTTAACCGTCAAGAACATTGAAAGCATGTCAGGAGTAATTGGCTCATCCAAAGGAGTGTTATTAATTTCTTCCCTTCGTTGTGTAACCAATTGTAATAAATCTTTTCTCATATTATCTCTTTCCTTTAATAATCGCATGGTTTTCTTTTTAAATCCGCCAGGGAAATGTCGTAGCCATTTTGGTGTTAACAAGAAATATTGCAGGCTTGTAATAAAGTCATTAATTCTTTTAATAAATTCTTCAGACTCCTTTAATACGGTAGAATCCACGTTAATCTTTTCCTTTGGAAACGTATTATTGAAATAATTTGCTATTGCATAAGTTTTTTTATTTGTCGTAATACGAAATATGAGATCAGTAGTAAATCTATGCAGCCATTCGGACAAATCTACTTCAATACCATCATCTCCATCAATTTTCTTCCAATAACCTTCTACTTCTTCAAATATTTCTTCCGTCCATGATATAGCTTGTCTAACGAATTTTGGTGACATGATGGCCCGATAAAAAAACTTACGATAGTATGCCCACGCATCTTGATTTCTATTGTATAATAATCCCTTTGAAGTGCAACCCAATTCGTCTAATCCATCATTTGGTGGTGTGCGTAAAATGAAATTACATTCTTGTAAATTGGTCGTATAAACTTTTTCCAATAATTCCGCTCTGCCCAATCCGATCCCTCTTGTTTTATCGCTAGGATGTCCAATATAGAATTCCCAAATATCGCCATACTTTTTTTGACATGTTTCAGAGAATGCTGACATGTCTCCAGGATATTGATGAAGATTTCCTATAAACGGTAGTGGAATTGGACCAGGAATCGGGTTAGGACGAGTGAAGAACTTGAAATAAAAATATGCCAGATATGTGACTATTCCTACTCCTACACTAATGAGAATGCTAGGAATATCAAATAAAATTGTTGAAATCATCGTTGAAAAAAAGTTATTGATTTATAGAAGTGGGAAATTTTTTTTATTTTTTTTTTTTTCTTAAAAAAATATCAAGCATTTATATATTAAATTTTGAAGCGCAGAAAAAAAAAATTATTTTTTTTTTTTTCGTAAATTTGTATTCTGAAACTATTGGCGTGCCTGAACCTGGAAAATTTTCCATTAATGGTGATTTTCAATCGAATTGCTGCACAAATATTAAAAAGTTTGGATGGTGCATCATAACAATATACCTAATATAATCAGGTTTGACTAAATAGCATTTTTTTTGATGTTTTGTTGACAATATTTGAAACAGAACCGATTTCTTCCGTGTGACAATTCGATGTTGCACAAGTTTTTTTTAATCCATTTAAGTCAATTAAATGTAAATTGTGATCGAAATGTTTGTTACATAAACCTAAAATTATGAACCAATAAATTTAATATACATTTTATCTTAATTCAATCAATTTTCATCTTATGAGGTTGATAAAGAAAAGATAAATATCAAATAATGGATGAACATGGTAGATGGATTTTAGTTTATAAACGTTAATATTACTTAATATAAGTTTTTGATTCAACTTTTCTTTCAAACAGACGATATAGATAAATTAATTGTTTATCTTTAATTAAAATAAAGTTTAAATTAATTTTAAACAGATAGTGAGCGTAATACAGGTTATAACTTTACATTACCATTAATTTTTTATAAAGTACCTCACGAAAATGATAATGATGTCTTGGTAGTAACGAATTTTTAGTATAAAATATTAGAACCGATTTATTGTACCAAGAGTTAGGGATGTAATGTGATTCGGATGATCCCGAGTCAATTCGGATTTATTGTTGGCTAATCTTCTGATCCAGACCGAGTTTGGCTAATACATTATTCTTTTGTGTAGTGTTACACAACTAACTCAATAAGGAATTTTAAAAAGGAAATACTATTTAGGAAAACTTTTTTATGGTTACACCCGTTTGTTTATTTATTTATATAATGATAAATGTTGCAGACCTACTGACATTTTTTTTTCCCTTCATTTCGCTTGATAAATATCCGATTAAAAAAAATCAAAATGCAATCTTCCAATAATTCATATGAGTGGTTTGAAGAATATGTTTTAAGCAAAAATATCAAATACTATGAATACACACATTTTAGTAATTTTGAAGAGATTGGTAAAGGCAGCTTTGGACAAGTCTATCGTGCAAATTGGAAAAGTTCAAAGCAATACCTCGCGTTAAAATTATTAAATAACTTTGACAATGCCATTGTTAAAGAACTTGTTCGCGAGGTAATTACAAATGCAATATTTTATTTCGGTTCTAGTTTTATAAAATCATTTATTTATCAAAGATAAAATTTATATTCTTAATAATTTAGTTTGAATTTCAACGAGAGGTTGATGTTCATTGCAATATTATTCGCATTTTGGGGATTACAGCATTAAACAAAGGTATAACATATTAAATAATTAGGTTAATTAAAGAATACGTATTGACTTTTATATTGAATTTTGACTCATTTTATATATTTATTTTTCAAAAATTAAAAAAAAATTAGAAAATCAATTGAAAAAATATTGTCTAGTAATGGAATATGCTGATGGTGGTTCACTTAGAAAATATTTGAAGAACAATTTTGATTATCTTTCTTGGGGCGACAAATACAACTTGGCATTCCAATTGGCTAGTGCTGTGTCGTGTTTACATAACGAAGGAATTGTGCATCGTGATCTGGTAATTTTATATAATATATATCTCATTTTGCTTATTATGAATCTTATTGTAAAAAATTAATATTTAAATCTATATATACATTTAATAGCATTCCGGCAATATATTAATTCATCAAGGTGGAATTAAACTAGCAGACTCTGGTCTATCGAAAAGAATTGATGAAGCAACCGACCGGTCAAAAGTTTTTGGTTTAATTCCTTATTTAGATCCAAAAAGATTTTCTAGTCGAAGAAAAAATGACAACACATCGCAAAAATATTTTTCAAATGAAAAAAGTGACGTTTACAGTGTTGGCGTACTGTTATGGGAAATATCAAGTGGTCGCCCTCCTTTTAATGTTGAAGGTATACAATGCGACATCTATTTAGCTATAAAAATTTTACAAGGACTCAGAGAAAGTGTTGTTCCTGGTACGCTTGAAGATTATGTAAACATTTATACAGGTAAATATAATATTATAAATTTAAAAATAATGCTTTCGTTCATTAAATTGTTTATATGATTTTAGAGTGCTGGGATGACGAGCCAGACAATCGTCCCGCTATGAACAAAGTAGTTGAAAAATTAAATGCTATAATTACAAAAACAAATAAAATAAAAAATGATCAAATTAGTAATGAGGATTCAAACCTTCAATCGTCAGAATTACAAATTTTTTATAGCATGAATAATTCATTTCATGGAGACTTATCTCAATTGAACCAAAATTTAAATCAGTTGAATGTAGAAGAATTAGAATCGAATAATGAAAAATCAAACATTATATACGATGATGCTATAGATAATTTAACTATTACAGATTTTAACAAGGATATATTAAATGCTATGGGAGGATTGCAAAAATATCGGAAATTAAAAGTTCTCAATTGTAGTAATACTCAAATAAACAGCCTACCAACTTTACCCGACTCCTTAACGGAACTCTATTGCTATGACACTCAAATAAATAGCTTAGCAACCTTACCAAACACCTTAACAGAACTCTATTGTTATAAAACTCAAATAACTAGCTTACCAACCTTACCAAATTCCTTAACTATTCTCCGTTGCGATGATACCCAAATAACTAGTTTACCAACCTTACCAAAGTCCTTAAAAGAACTCTATTGTAATGAAACTGAAATAACTAGTTTACCAATCTTACCAAACTCTTTAACGAAACTTTATTGTGATGATACACAAATAACTAGCTTACCTTCCTTACCAAATTCCTTAACGATACTCAGTTGCGATAATACCGAAATAACTAGCTTATCAACCTTACCAAGCTTCTTAACAGAAATATATTGTTATAAAACTCAAATAACTAGTTTACCAACCTTGCCAAATTCCTTAACAATACTCAGTTGTGATAATACCGAAATAACTAGCTTACCAACCTTACCAAATTCCTTAGCGATACTCAGTTGCGATAATACCGAAATAACTAGCTTATCAACCTTACCAAATTCCTTAATAGAACTTTGGTGTTATAAAACTCAAATTGTTAGCTTACCAACCTTACCAAACTCCTTAACGAAACTTTATTGCTATGAAACTCAGCTAACCAGCTTACCAACCTTACCAAACTCCTTAACTGAACTCTATTGTTATAAAACTCCAATAACTAGTTTACCAACCTTACCAAACTCCTTAACAAAACTCTATTGTAATGAAACACAAATAACTAGTTTACCAACCTTACCAAAGTCCTTAAAAGAACTCTATTGTAATGAAACTGAAATAACTAGTTTACCAATCTTACCAAACTCTTTAACGAAACTTTATTGTGATGATACACAAATAACTAGCTTACCTTCCTTACCAAATTCCTTAACGATACTCAGTTGCGATAATACCGAAATAACTAGCTTATCAACCTTACCAAGCTTCTTAACAGAAATATATTGTTATAAAACTCCAATAACTAGTTTACCAACCTTACCAAACTCCTTAACAATACTCCTTTGCAGTGGTACTAAAATAACCAGTTTGCCAACCTTACCAAACTCCTTAACAAAACTCAGTTGCTTTGGTACCCAAATAACTAATTTACCAACCTTAACTAGTTCCTCAATGAAACTCAGTTGTTATCAAAAAGCAGCAGAGAATGGAAATGAATTTGCACAATATAATTTAGGCAAATGCTATCAAAATGGATGGGGAAAAGAAAAAAATCTAGAAAAAGCATTTCATTGGTATAAAAAAGCTGTTATACAAAATTATAGTGATGCACAAAATTTAATAGGATATTTTTATGAAAATGGTGAAGGAGTAACAAAAGATCTAGAAAAGGCTTATTATTGGTACCAAAAATCAGCACAAAATGGAAATAAACTTGCACAATATAATTTAATATTATTTTGTCAAAATGAATTAAAATTTGAAAAAAATAATATCGAAAAATACAAAAAATTAGCTAAAAATAATAATGATATACAATATTATTTAGGATTTTGTTATGAAAATGGTATAGAAATAGAAAAGGATTATAAAAAAGCATTTTACTGGTATCAAAAAGCTGCAGAAAATGGGAATAAATTTGCACAATATAATTTGGGCACGTTTTATCGAAATGGATGTAACGTTAGGGAAAATGAAGTTAAAGCATTAAAGTTATTTAAAAAATCGGCTAAACAAAATAATAGAGAAGCACAAAGTTATTTAGGATTTCTATATAAAAATGGCATAGGTACGCAACAAGATTTGAAAAAATCTTTTCATTGGTATAAACAAGCGGCAGAAAACGGTGATAAGCTTGCGCAGTATAATTTAGGCAATTTTTATCGATATGGGTTAGGAATTGAAAGTAGTAAAGATAAAGCATTAGAATGGTACCAAAAATTTTCTGGAGAAAACAATAAATTATTTATTGGAAATGATGAATTATTAGGTATGTATATTTACTTACTATATATTATATCAAAATTCCTTTATTAATTATTAAATTTGAATATATATTCGGTAGCTGATAATCAAATTACAAACCAAACCGTCAATTACAATCCTTTTAATTATAATATTAATGAATCAAAAGTACAGAATAACGCAGATTATAAAGTTGTCTCGGAATTTATTTCAGTAAAAGCAACTATTTCTCCCGGTATTTCTGCTATTTCATATAACGAAGTTGAAAAATTACAAATATTACTTAGTAGAAGAAAAAGTGATATCGACTGTATGTTGAAATCACAACCTATTTATAGGATAGGAATTGATTTTGAAAAATATTCTACTAAACCATGCATTATTTGTTGGGTTATTAAACCTCTTGATAATTCAGTCTTAGAATGTCTTGAAACTATGTTTGATGATCAATATGAAATTATATATCAAGTAATTCCTATAAATAAATCAAGTAATGGTGATGTTATTAATGAAAATAATGATAACAATAGTAATAGTAATGATGACGGAAATAGTTATAATTGTAATAGTGATGATAATGGTCATGATAACGCTAATAGAGATGATAATAATAATGGTAACGATAATGACGATAAGAATAGTGTTAATAATAATAGTAGTAAAGATGATGATAGTGGTAGTAATGATGCTCGTAGTGAAGGTGATGGTAATGCTAATGGTAATGATGGGGACGATGATGGTGATAGTAATGATAATGTTGATAATAGTAGAAATAACAGAATCTATGTTAATTCTACAATAAAAGCCGAAAGTATCGATTCAAGGATTTCTCAAGATTTAAACATTACGGCTAATTTCTGGGTTGAAATTACTCCTGAAATGACAGTTAGAAACCTAAAATTTGATATTGAAGTAAATGATTGCGGAATAGGAAATATGCTTAGTAATAATTCTCAATCACTTAAAAATCAAGGTGTTGGTTACTTACTTCATTCTATTAAAGTTCATATTTCCCCAATACCTGAAAGTGCATTCGTTGTAGTAGGTGAATCACTGCCAAAGCAGCAATACCCAGTGAGTGAAGTTTCAAATAGTGTGGAAAAGGGTTTTATGATAGCAGTTTCTAATTTAATGGGTAATATAAAAAAGGCTCATACTATTAAATCCACTTTAAGTAAATGGAATGTAAAGAAAGTACGTGATGGTAAAGGAGAGTGCTGGTCACATCAACATAATGACAATTACCCTGTCGAAGATAGGGGAGGTCATTATCCCGGATTTCATTCTGGCCATTGGCATATGAAGGAAAGTATGAATGGGTTTTGTATTAATATTTCTCAAGAATTACATTTTCAATATAAGATATTTAGAAATTTCAAATTTCTTCCAAATACAAAACCAAAGCTATTACCGTGTCCCAAGATGGCTCATAACCTAGAAATATCGTTTAACGATCTTACGGATTTTAATAAAAAATTAGCAAACATCAAAAAGCACTATTATGAAAATGACGAGATTGAAATTATTGTTGGAAATAAGGAAGAAGAGAAAATAGAAGAAAGCTTTCAAAATTTGGATGGAAAAATCGAACGTTCGAAATCAATTTTAAAATGAATGGTTTCTAATTTATGAACCTGAGGGGATTTATTTCAAGTCTTTATTTTGTAATTTTATAATTTTATTGTAGCTTTATAGGAATGTTTTAATATGTTCAACACTAATTTTATTATTTTTTTTTAAAATAAATAACAATCAATTTAAACAATTTGCAATTCATTGTCATATGCCTAATGGAACTTGTAGTTCCAAAGAAAACGCCAATAGGAATATAAAACATTAACGTTTTACTGCGGTCGTAACTAAAAAGTAAAAATTTTTTTATTAAAATGCAACTTCTAAAATGATACTGTAAATGATAAGTTTATTATTCACAACAAAAACGAATCCAAATAAAAATATATATAGTGCCAATTTTCCAATATTTGTAAAAAGCTATATATTTACATAATAAGATAAATTTTTTATTTATTGTATTATATTTAAATTTCATGATCTATTAATTGTCAGAAAAGCTTTTACGAAAATTTCTTAAGTTCGATAATATGAGCATTATAAAATGCAGCCATTTCTTTAATCCATTTTATGACAATTATACAATATTCATCCAGGATTCCAATTTCAACAAGTTATGATTAAACATAAAGATTTTATGTACCCTTAACATTTACTGTAACCAACCAAATGAAATTTGAATTTGGCCACTACTTGCATAAATTTTCTTTTTATATATTTTTCATAAAATGACCAACCAAGTAGCGAAATTGAGCCGCTAATGATCACGAATGGTTTCTTAAATTATTAATAATTGGTAAGATTTAAAATAATTTTAACATTATAATGATCATTACTAACTTTATTATTCGCACTTCTTTTCTATCCTTAATATATCTTCGTAAAACATACAAATGCATTATCAAAATTTAAAAGTAAGATTTTGTCAAAATAATAAGTTGTAATGTAATTAAATATGAGCTTATGTGTACGCACGTTAACATTATATCGATTCTTATATTGTTAGTGGATGTTTAAAGGAAATAATGTCATTTTTTCGTATATTTTTAATCTGAGAAAAAAGAAGAACTTATTTATTTGGAAATTAATTACACTCTTTGTATATGTATGTCTCTCGAATAAATTACAAAATTATCAACTTATCTAGTATATATTAGCATTATGTTTATGTTATCTGTAAATATAATGACTATACAAATGAATAAATCTATTTGACTTCACGTCAGAGTTTACTCAATTTTTTATTAACACATGAACAGAATCCGTAAAAGTAAGCAGATATTGCAAAGAGTGTTGTATAGCAAAAATCTCTTGTCTATTTATCAAAATTCCAAATCTGAAACTGATGTCAAAATGACCTTAAAATTTAAATATTAGTATGTTGTTTGCTTAATCTTAGATAATATGCCTCATACAATGCATGAAATACTTTATCAACTACTTGATTCATAACTGAATACTTATATAGCTTATTATCCTAGCATTCTAAGAATATAAAATTTTAAAGTAAAAAATTGCTTATAAAAAATATATATAATATATTTAATTTAATTTTAAACATTTTTAACAATCATTTCAGATGATTTTTTTAAATACCACCCTCATAATGACGCAGTATGCAAATTATTGATTAATGCATTATTTTGTTAGAAATATTAAAGATATATATAAATTATAAGTTTTATAAATGCAATTATAATCTAAACAATTATATAATATAACAAATCTAACAGAAACATTCTAAGTGTATCTTTTCTCTTTAATATTTTTACATAGTGCAGTATATTATGTCTATCATTAAGACTATTCCAACATGTACATCCATCCATGTTTTCAATTCCTACCTTTTAAATTACTTGAAATAGATTCAATATCATATTACCTGTTGAGATGATGACATGCCAGCATTAAAATCCTAAATAAGAATCGATTGTATGATTAATAATGATCGTTTAATCTATATTAAACCTAAACCTAATCATAATTAACCCTAACTAACCCTAACCAACCCTAACTAATCTTAACTAACCCTAACTAACCCTAACTAACTCTAATATTAACCACCCTAATCCTAAATCAATTCTTACCTGAAATGTAAAACATTTAGCCCATCGATGCTTGATTGGATATAATGTTCGAATATGATGATGCATCTGAAAACTTTGAACATAATGCTTCAAATCGAAATTCAAAGGTTGCTTCAATAAAGTATTACAACATGAAAAAATGCTGATTGAAATTCAATGTATTGGTAATATCAAGTAGATGGAAGAAGAATTATACACGCCTCAATCTTTATTAAGATATTTGTCTTGTATTTGCCATACGAAGCCAATCTGATGTCCATAAACCAGTAAAACAGAATATGCATGATTCCAATCATCAAATTGCATTCCGATACATAATTCAGATGCCATCTCATAGGCAATGTCAGGTATAGTAAGTGTTTTTCCATCACGGGAAGGAAGGGAAAGGTAAATATTTGTTGGGAAGATGTATCTTCGAAATCTTTTCATTCTTTCTTTTGTATTAAAGTCTGAAAATCTAAAGATCAAATGCAAAAAAAAATGTGAGATAAGTATAATTTATAGAAAAAACACCAACGCCACCAATGAAAACTTATCAATAAAAGGTTAAACGAAAAGTAGTTTTATTTCAATATTGTTGAGATGTTGATAAGTATTGCAAAAAGAATTGCAAAGCAACAATAAAAGGAACGTGGGAAGGTGAAATGGTAGAATTTAGAAAAAGTTTTATTATATTAATCAATAATTTTAACGATCATGACGAAAACACGTGATCACATCATGAGATGATGTTTAACAAAATCATCGGGGATAATTTAAATAAAAAGTCATTAATTTTATGATAATATATTTATCGGGTATAAAGATTTACGTAAATTTTTAAGTGTGCTGGAAATGATCTTTTTTCTAAGTCCTCCTAAAATGTCGAAAGCTAAACTTACGCCCTATAAAAAAAAAAATTCTGGAATTTGTCCAGAATTTGCCGTAGTATTCAGATAATGTCCGGAATCCACCATGTTTACACTTTCCGGACGATTTTGACATTTTCCGGGACATTTCCACATGCACCCGGACATTTTCGATAACATTTTCTGGACAATTTTTTTTTTATAGGGACTTCATCCTTATATAAAAAGAGGGTGACCGCTTGATATTTCCCATAAAAGTACGCCCACACTGTATGCGTCGCTCTTGTTATTTAGCTTTAATTGTGGTTCTGTATTAACAGATTTTCGTCTGTTAAAAATTTTTGGTCAACATAAGGAATAACTCCAAAAGCTTTTGGTTGCTTCAATTCTTTTCGAAATCCAAAAGTTGGCTAGATTAATAACGCCTTGATGAATGAGCTAGGGTCGTTCGTCGGTCGTGGTTCAACGGTCAGTCAAATACCTTTGACCAACCGACCGGTTAATAATAAAATAATTGAGCATTTTTTGGCTTAATAGAAAGTTTTTAATTTAGCCAAATATTTATAATTTTGATCCTTGCTTTTAACAATTCTAGCATGGCATCTTTAAAACTACTTTTATCAATTTCATTTATAGATGACGAGATAAGGTCGAACAGTTGTTTAATTATTGTTGTAAAATAAGCTAATGCTTTTATATAGTGGCGCAGCATTATCGCGGAATTTAAATTTTTTTCAAATTTCAAAATTTTAATTATAAATAATTAAAATGTTGATTTTTGTTAATTTAATACAAAGTGTTTTTTTTTTACTATTTAAAACATGGTTGTTCAGTCTCAAATCAGTCGGTCAACCGGTCGGTCAGAAGCCTTTGCCCGACCGATATCGGTCACGGTTATGACTGGTTATGACCGGTTATGACCGTGACCATTAGCATCACTAGAATGAGCACACTGCCGGAATGCTATTATATGCATACAATAAAGAATATTAATTAATAGCAGAAATATTCAGAAGAAACTATATATTATGTAAGATTACCCAAACACGATGCAAAATTTCTTTGTTTTGTAAACATGATATAGCACAAGCTATCTGGAATGCTAAGTTGTTTTTTATCTCCAAGCAATTTATCAATATTATCCTTAAAATATTTTTTCAGAGCATTACTGTCAGCATATTCCATTACTAATCATATTGATTTTCTACTTTTTTTTTTTTAAAAAAAAAATTAAATATAAAATGCAAAAGTCAATATAAATCCTTATGATTTGTAATTCCAAAAACAAACACTGGAATTGTTGAAGTTATGAAACGATTTTTATAATGCGAGACATTGATTTGAATTTTTCCAATTTGCACGATAAACTTTTCAAAAGCTGCCAGATCCATTCTCTTCAAAATTGATGAAATGTTTGTATTCGTAGTATTTGATACTTTTTATTGAGATAGGTTCTTCAATCTTATTAATCCACTCATTCGAATTTTTGAAAGCTTGCTTGTTGGTTTATTAAATTTTGTAAATAGCGAAATGAGAAAATCACTTAGTAGATCATGCTAAATTTATAAGGGGTGTTCAATTCTGATGGAATATTATTGCTATAGGCCTGTTCATGCATCAAATGCATCACAAAAAAACTGATGCATGTCATCGATGACGGACTTTGTATTTCCGGGGACAATTAATAGTAGTCCTTTGTAAATATAAATAAATTAATCATTAGACATTTAATAATCGATTTTACAAAAAAACGTAATTAATTTAGCAAAAACAATATCATGATGAATTTGCAAAAAAATAATGAGAATGAAACTAATTTAATTCATCAGTCTGATAAAAATGTAGGTTTATTATTTTATTATCATGTAATGTTTTCATAGATTAATGATTTTTTTTTTTACTGCTTAATAATCGACTTGGATCAACATTCAATTTTATGAGTTGACTTATGCAACCTAAATATTTTACTTTAGTGTAGTGTTACACAACTAACTCAATAAGGAATTTTAAAAAAGAAATACTATTTAGGAAAATTATTTTTTATGGTTACACCCGTTTGTTTCATTATTTATAATGATTAATGTTGCAGAACTACCGAGTGCATTTTTTTTTCTCTTCGTTTCGCTTGATAAATATCCAATTAAAAAAAAAAAAATCAAAAATGCAAACTTCTAATAATTCAAATGAGTGTATTGAAGAATGTATTTCAAGAAAAGATATCAAATACTACGAATACAAACATTTTAGCAATTTTGAAGAGATTGGTAAAGGCAGCTTTGGACAAGTCTACCGTGCAAATTTGAAAAGTTCAAAGCAATACCTCGCGTTAAAATTATTACATGAATTTAACAATACCACTGTTAAAGAACTTGTTCGTGAGGTAATTACAAATGCAATATTGTATTTATTATTAAATCATTTATTTATCAAGATAAAATTTATATTCTTAATATTTTAGCTTGAATTTCAACGGGAGGTTGATTATCATTGCAATATCATTCGCTTTTTGGGGATTACAGCATCAAACCAAGGTATAACATGTTAAATAATTGGTTAATTAAAGAAAATATATTGACCTTAAATTGAATTTTTAACTCATTTTATATATTTTTAAAAAATTAAAAAAATTAGAAAACCAATTGAAAAAATATTGGCTAGTAATGGAATACGCTAATGGCGGTTCACTTAGAAAATATTTGAAGGATAATTTTGATTATCTTTCTTGGGGAGACAAATACAACTTGGCATTCCAGTTGGCTAGTGCTGTGTCGTGTTTACATGACGAAGGAATTGTGCATCGTGATCTGGTACCTTACATAATTTATATCTTACTTTATTATAATCTTACCGTAAACATTAATATTTAATTTTATCTTTACATATAATAGCATTCCGGCAATATATTAATTCATCAAGGTGCAGTTAAACTAGCAGACTTTGGTCTATCGAAAAGAATCGACGACGCAACCAACCAGTCAAAAGTTTTTGGTGTAATTCCTTATATTGATCCTAAAATATTTGGTGGACGGAGAAAATATGACAATACATCACAAGAGTATTCGTTAAATGAAAAAAGTGACGTCTACAGTATTGGCGTTCTATTATGGGAGATTTCTAGTGGTCGTCCACCTTTTTATGTGGAAGGTGAGACATACGACATTGATTTAGCTATACAAATTTTACAAGGATTCAGAGAAAATGTCATTCCTGGTACACCTAAAGATTATGTAAACGTGTATATTGGTAAATACCTTATTACTAAATTTAAATTTTAACATAATGTTTTCAATCACTAAATTGTTTTATATGATTGTAGATTGCTGGGACAACGAGCCAGAAAATCGTCCAGTTTTGAACAAGGTTGTTGATGAATTAAATGCAATTATTACAAAAAAAAATATAATAGAACATGATCAAATTATTAATGAAAAATCAAATTATTCAAGTATTAAACATGAAAAATTATCTCGAGTAATTCAAAATTTCAATCAGTTTAGTGTAAAAGAATTAAAATCGAATAATGAAATATTCGCCATTATTTACGATGATACGATTGATAGTTTAACGATTACGGAATTTAATAAAGATATATTAAACACCCTAGGAGGATTACAAAGATTTCGAAAATTACAAGTACTCAATTGCTATGAAGCTCAAATAATTAGTTTACCAACCTTACCAAACTCCTTAACAGAACTCTATTGTAATGAAACTCCAATAACTAGTTTACCAACCTTGCCAAAGTTCTTAGCGATACTCAGTTGCGATAATACCGAAATTACTAGCTTACCAACCTTACCAAACTCCTTAACAGTACTCTCTTGTAATGAAACTCCAATAACTAGTTTACCAACCTTACCAAAATTCTTAGCGATACTCAGTTGCGATAATACCGAAATTACTAGCTTACCAACCTTACCAAACTCCTTAACAGAACTCTCTTGTAATGAAACTCCAATAACTAGTTTACCAACCTTACCAAATTCCTTATCGATACTCAGTTGCGATAATACCGAAATAACTAGCTTACCAACCTTACCAAACTCCTTAACAGAACTTTGGTGTCATGAAACTCAAATAACTAGTTTACCAACCTTGCCAAACTCCTTAACAGAACTCTATTGTTATAAAACTCAAATAACTAGTTTACCTATCTTACCAAACTCTTTAACTGTACTCTATTGTAATGAAACTCCAATAACTAGTTTACCAACCTTACCAAATTCCTTGGCGATACTCAGTTGCGATAATACCAAAATAACTAGCTTACCATCCTTACCAAACTCCTTAACAGTACTCTATTGTAATGAAACTCCAATAACTAGTTTACCAACCTTACCAAATTCCTTAGTGATACTCAGTTGTAATAATACCGGTATAACTAGCTTATCAACCTTACCAAACTCCTTAACGAAACTCAGTTGCTTTGATACCAAAATAACTAGTTTACCAACCTTACCAAATTCCTTAACTGTATTCTATTGTAATGAAACTCCAATAACTAGTTTACCAACCTTACCAAATTCCTTAGCGATACTCAGTTGCTGTGGTACCAAAATAACTAGCTTGCCAACCTTACCAAACTCCTTAACGAAACTCAGTTGCTTTGATACTCAAATAACTGGTTTATCAACCTTACCAAGCTTAATGAAACTCAGTTGTTATCAAAAAGCAGCAAAGAATGGAAATGTATTTGCACAATATAATTTAGGTAAATGTTATCAAAATGGATGGGATATAGAAAAAGATCTAGAAAAAGCATTTTATTGGTATAACAAAGCTGCTATACAAAATTATAGTGATGCACAAAATTTAATAGGATATTTTTATGAAAATGGTGAAGGAGTACCAAATGATTTAGAAAAGGCTTATTATTGGTACCAAAAATCAGCACAAAATGGAAATAAACTTGCGCAATATAATTTAATATTATTTTGTCAAAATGAATTAAAAATTGAAAAGAATAATATTGAAACATATAAAAGATTATCTAAAAAAAATAATGATATACAATATTATTTAGGATTTTGTTATGAAAATGGTATAGAAATAGAAAAAAATTATGAAAAAGCATTTTACTGGTATCAAAAAGCTGCAGAAAATGGGAATAAATTTGCACAATATAATTTGGGTACGTTTTATCGAAATGGATGTATCGTTAAAGAAGATGTAGTTAAAGCATTAGAGTTATTTGAAAAATCAGCTAAACAAAATAATATTGAAGCACAAAGTTATTTAGGATTTCTATATAAAAATGGCATAGGTACGCAACAAGATTTGAAAAAATCTTTTCATTGGTATAAACAAGCGGCGGAAAACGGTGATAAATTTGCGCAATATAATTTAGGTAATTTTTATCGATATGGGTTAGGAATTGAAAGTAGTAAAGACAAAGCATTAGAATGGTACCAAAAATTATCTGGAGAAGACAATAAATTATTTATTGGAAATGATGAATTATTAGGTATGTATATTTACTTACTATATATTACATCAAAATTCCTTTATTAATTATTAAATTATTCGGTAGCTGATAATCAAATTACAAACCAAACCATCAATTACAATCCTTTTAATTATAATATTAATGAATCAAAAGTACAGAAGAATGCAGATTATAAAGTTATCTCGGAATTTATTTCAGTAAAAGCAACTATTTCTCCCGGTATTTCTGCTATTTCATATAACGAAGTTGAAAAATTACAAATATTACTTAGTAGAAGAAAAAGTGATATCGACTGTATGTTGAAATCACAACCTATTTATGGGATAGGAATTGATTTTGAAAAATATTCTACTAAACCATGCATTATTTGTTGGGTTATTAAACCTCTTGATGATTCAGTCTTAGAATGTCTTGAAACTATGTTTGATGATCAATATGAAATTATATATCAAGTAATACCTATAAATAAATTAAGTAATGGTGATGATATTAATGAAAATAATAGCAATTATTATAGTAATAGTAATGATGACGGAAATAGTAATAATGGTAATAGTAATGATGACGGAAATAGTAATAATGATAATAGTGATAACGCTAATAGCGATGATAATAATGAGTGTAATAATAATGGTAACGATAATGGCGATAAGAATAGTAATAATAATAGTAGTAATGATGAAGATAGTGGTAATGATGATCGTGGCGAAGGTGATGGCAATGCTAATGGTAATGGTGGGGACGATGATGGTGATAGTAATGATAAGGTTGATAATAGTAGAAATAACAGAATCTATGTTAATTCTACAATAAATGCCGAAAGTATCGATTCAAGGATTTCTCAAGATTTTAACATTACGGCTAATTTCTGGGTTGAAATTACTCGTGAACCTCATGAAATGACAGTTAGAAACCTAAAATTTGATATTGAAGTAAATGATTGCGGAGTAGGAAATATGCTTAGTAATAATTGTCAATCACTTAAAAATCAAGGTGTTGGTTACTTACTTCATTCTATTAAAGTTCATGTTTCCTCAATACCTGAAAATGAATTCGTTGTAGTAGGTGAATCACAGCCAAAGCAGCATTACCCAGTGATTGAAAATTTAAATGTTTTGGAAACGGGTTTTATAATATCAATTTTTAATTTCATGAGTAGTATAAAAAAGGCTCACACTGTTAAATCCACTTTAAGTAAGTGGAATGTAAAGAAAGTACGTGATCGTAAAGGAGAGTGCTGGTCACATCAACATAATGACAATTACCCTGACGAAGATAATACTAATAGGGGAGGTCATTCTCCTGGATTTCATTCTGGCCATTGGCATATGAAGGAAAGGATGAGTGGATTTTGTATTAATATTTCTCAAGAATTACATTTTCAATATAAGATATTTAGAAAGTTCAGAACCCTTCCAAATACAAAACCAAAGCTATTACCGTGTCCCAAGATGGCTCATAACCTAGAAATATCGTTTAACGATCTTACAAATTTTAATGAAAAATTAGCAAATATCAAAAAGCACTATTATGAAAATGATGAGATTAAAATTAAAGTTGGAAATAATGAAGAGGAGAAAATAGAAGAAAGCTTTCAAAATTTGGATGGAAAAATTGAACGTTCGAAATCAGTTTTAAAATGAATGATTTCTAATTTATGAACCTGAGGGGATTTATTTCAAGTCTTGATATATATTATTAATTTTATTCTTTTTATTTTTATCAAATATTTTATATTATATTATTTTGTAATTTTATTGTAGCTTTATAGGAATGTTTTATTATATTAAATGACATCGTTAAATCGTTTCCAATCCTCCACCTGGTTTGGCGTCATCCAAAAAAGTCTATTAAGAGTTGTAGTACCAGGTTCAAAATCATAATATACCTTCCATTCCGAATTTTCTTTTTATATGTTCATCACTTACTATATTATTATTTATTTATTTTACATAAATAACAATCAATTTGCATTTCATTGTCAATTTATAAGCATTTACGTGTAGTTTCCAAAGAAACCATTCCATAAAATACGCCAAAAAGAAATAAAAAAACATTTAACGTTTTACTGCGGTCGTAACTAAAAATAAAATTTTTTTTTGTTAAAATGCAACCTCTAAAATGATGCTGTAAATGGTAAGTTTATATAATCCAAATAATAATATAGATCATGCCAAAATTCCAATATTTGTAAAAAGCTATATATTTATTTTCACATTTTTTATTTATTGTAATAAAAAATATCTGTTATTATTTTAAATTTTTTGATTAATATTTTTCAGCAAAACTTTTACGAAAAGTTTTTTACATGGATAATATGAGCATTCTATAATGCAGTTTTGTACTCTTAACATTTACTGTAACCAACCAAATACACGATGAAAATTGAATTTGACCACTACTTGCATAAATTTCTTTTTATATATTTTTCATAAAATGACCAACCAAGTAGCGAAATTGAGCCGTTAATGCTACTTTAAGTCACAAAACTATTAATTATTGGTAAGAGTTAAAATAAACTTTAATTATATTGTGCTTTGCAACGATTAATATCAAAATTATTGTCCAATTCATAATGACGATCAGTTAGATTTAGCCACGTTAGTGGCTAAATATGACCGATCATCATTACGAATTGGACAATAATTTTATCTATTTATCAACGTAAGCACAATAACGATATTATCGTGTGATTTTATGATTGTTGACTTTACAATTATGAAGAGTAAGTTCATCATTCTCTTGGCAATAGGATGCGAACCTAACTAGATGCGTAGCATAAAATTTATAGTAATTTGAAATCGAGTGGTCGTATATTATATTCTTTTAAAAAATGGAAGACCCACTTTCTATGAACCACGAAAAAGAGGTACCTTTTTGTGTTATAAAATTAATACTACAATTTAACAAATTTTTATTTTTAGACGAATTATACTTGTGAAAAACTTACTGGAAAGAAATCTTAACGAACCTATTAATATGTTTATAGAAGATTAATTGCTTTATTTAATGCCTCATCAAGTAACAATTAATTATATGCTAAAAACCTATATTTCAAGATGTAACACCTTTTATTAATAATGCATCTTCAATTATTTTGATTATTTTTATTATCCTTAATTTGTTTGATGTAAGTACAAATACTGCAACAATAAAATATATTCCTACTTAGATATTAAATGAGAATTAAAAAAACTAATTTTAAAATTATAGCTATAAATCTTTAATTAAAAAATAAAAAAAATTTAAAACTTAGATTAAAAAAAAATTTCGAAATTAAAAAAAAAATATAAAATAAATTTGCAGAAGGTGGTAATTGTAGATGTTCTATTCTACATAATTGAATTGATATCGCGAAATAAAAAGAATAAATTATCTAAACACTTGCTAGAAAAATTATTTTTTGAGATATTATTAATTAGCCCCTTTATCTTTAGCATATTATACTTTTACAGAAAATATTCCATAATTACCATCTTTACGCTTATATTGAAAATAGAAACAAGTTACATACCTGAAATTAATATGTATAATAATAAGTATAATTTATTGTATTATTTATTTGCTTAAAATAAATTATCGTTATTGTATAGCTAATTTTCATATAAACTCCGTGATATCACTAAAAATATTAAAAAACAAGATCGTCTACATCAAACTGGTGAGCACGACAATATTATATATAATAATCATTACTAACTTTATTATTCGCACTTCATTGCTATCCTTAATATCTTAGTAAAGATTAAAAATGGATTATCAAAACTTAAAAGATTAATATTCATTAATATAATTAAATTTAAATGAAAAAACTAAAATAATAAAAAAATTCTTTACCCGAAAATTCAAGATCTTTAACATCTAAACTTTTACTTGTAAGTAAATGTGCTGAAGCTTTTGTTTTTGATTTGAAATATAAACTATTGTGCTCATCTGCTTCTTTGCATTGCTTAAAAATTCGGCATTATCGTTTTTATTACTTGATCGATACCATCTCAGAAATGTATTATTCAATTCATTAGCTGTAGGACGTATTGATGGATCTTCTTTTAAACAACGTTCAATCAATTCTTTCACTAAGGGTGGTACCTTAAAATTATTTTTAAATGTTGGTCTGAGTCTTTGACATATTCTTAACATTAGAAATCGGTTATATGTTAAATCATTATATGGTGGTAATGCTTGAATGATTTCATATAAACATATTCCGAATGAATAAATGTCAGCTGCCAGGGTATAAGGTTTACCTCTTAAAACCTCTGGAGCGACATTAGGTAAAACTCCATAAAGTTTTTTTTGATCACCATTTGCTTGTTCATTTGCAGGATTACATAACCCTAAATCAGAAATGTAACCGCCATCACCACTTAATATATTGCCCAAATGAAAATCTTTATGAATATATCCACTATTATGGATTTCGTTTAGCCCATCTACAATACAATGGATCTTATTTAATTTGGCCCATATTCCGGATCGTAATCATTATTATGTAAATTATTTACGTATTCTCTCATGTTACCACCTTTCACATATTGCATTACCTTTATAAAATTATCTGTTGCAGGATCTTTAGAAATTCCAAAACATCGAACAAATGTTTGATAAAATTGGTTACAAAGTATAATCTGTGATTAAAATTAAAAAGGCTTAATAATAAATTTTTTTATTTTTTAAAAAAAAAAAAAAAAAAAAAAAATAACGAATAAATTATCTCTTTTAAAAAGTCCGTGGTAATATTCTGTGAATCCTTTAAACATTTTAAAGCTACTTCAGAATTTTGTTGTCTTTGCCATTTATTATCTTTAACATCAAAATAACGAATATATCCGTCAACCCAAAGTGCTTTATGAACAGTACCAAAACCACCTTCTGCAAGATATGTGATATTCTTAAATTTATCATAAGGTATCCATTCTAATACTTCATAAGGACCAGTCGAATTTAATTGATTTTGCCGTAAAAATTCATTAATCTTTTTATTACCACTAGTCCATAATTTAAATTCTTGTATAAAGCGTTTGGAATTGCAGCAATTACACCAAAAATTGCCTGTAAAAGGTTGATTACAAACCTCACATAATCCATTTTGTATATATCGTTCTCTTAAAATTTCATCTGGTATTAATTTATTAATCAATGAAGTTTGTTCTTTAGTTAATTTATATCTATCAAAACCTTTTATTTTATCTATGACATCTTCACTGAGCTTAGACAATGAATTCATTTTCTTGTAATTTGGTAAATTGTGATTAGAATAGAATGACACTATGGAAAATGCCACTAATATGTACTGTATAGCTTGGAAATTAACGAAAAAGATTTGCAAATTTTAAAATAAAAAAAATTAAAGGATGTTCGTATTACTTAAATTAGAAATTTACAATGCATTACGGTAAGACGAATTATATTAAACCTAGATTTGTATAACAAACAAGGTCTAAACGAATTTTTTTATGCGGCACTGTAAGTCATGTGATTGAAGAATGAAATAAGATACTACCTATTGGCACTAAATGATATACTGACCCACCTTTTATTTAATATTTTTTTAAAATGCATAACGTGTGCTTTAAATATTTTTTTTATGGAGTTTTGACACACTAAACAAATGATCGATAGATGAATCGAGTCTATTCACGAACGAGGCGTCTAAAATGGTTGCTGGAAAGTTTTGAAACGGAATTACTTATTACTAAACCACAACAAAATTGATAATATGTTTTTCACTATATATTTTCTAGTCAAATATAAATACTAAAGTACCAATTTCTAAAGAGAAAATCGGAAAGATTATATCGTAGAATGAAAGAATATTTATAAACTACTATGGTAAATGAACTGGAGATTCTTGAAATTGTCTACTTCGTATGTAAAATATTAATCATAGTAACGAGGAAGGTTAGTAGAGAAAGTTCCCGTCAAGACAAAGTAGGAAAAATTCAAAGACGCCTACTGAACATGTACATTTAACCTATTTAAGATACAGTTGATCAAAGCACTTCATCTAATTATGTAATAGGCATAGCTTTAGTTCCGAATTTGCAATTATTATTAATTTTAGTATTCAATTTAGGTTGTATTATAACAGACTATTGATAACAACAGTCCCCAATAATTAAGATCAACGAATAAAATTTCGTCATGTAACCGATTTAAATTGGTGTAGATTCTATTAAACTTTTTTTTTACAATTACTTAAATTTTAAAAAATAAAAAAATTTTTATATTATCAATTAATACTTTTAAAATGTCAAAACACAGGAATTAAATATTATATGAAAATGTTTTAGGTAGAATATATATAAATTTGTTAAATATTCATTTATTACTTTTTGTAAGAGTTTAAATAAGAATATTAACTATACATTCAAGATGAAATGCATTGTGATACTTTCATGTGATTTTGATATTTTTTGATAATTATATACTGTATATATTGGTCTAACCCTTCAGAATATAAGATTTCTATTCATAATTTATTAGTAAAAAGAGCATAATTTTAACTTTTATTATCTTTTATTATAAAAAACTTTTGTATTTTATTATTTGAAAACTTTATTATAAATAAAATAATACATTGAAAATAAGCTAATTGTGAATAAATTATTGTAAAATCTTATTATAAATTAGTTTTACATAATGCTCTGAACGGTTCAATTCGGTCTGGATTATAGGCCAATCTGAAACTGAACTGAAAATTTTGGTTCAGTTCAGTTCAGATTATAAATCTTAAAAATGCCAATCTGAAACTGAACTGAACTGTAAACTGGTAAAAATCCGAACTGAACTGAAAATTTCAGATTATTCCGAAATTTCAGATCGTTTGAAATGATTCTTTTATCGTTCGTTTGGAATGATAACTTCAATTATTCCAAATGAACGATTCTTTTATCATTCAATTAGAATGATAATTTAATCATTCCAATTGAACGATTTTCTTATCGGTTTGTTTAGAACAATAACTTCAATCGTTCCAAATAAACAATTCTTTTATTGTTCGTTTAGAATGATAATTTAATCGTTCCAATCAAAAGATTCTTTTATCGTTCGTTTGGAATGATAACTTCAATCATTTCAAATTAACGATTCTTTATCATTCTTTTGGAACGATAATTTAATCGTTCCAATCGAACGATTTTCTTATCGTTCGTTTGGAACAAACGATTTTCTTATTGTTCATTTGGAATAATAAATTTAATTGTTCTAAACAATCTGAAATTTCAGATTAATCCGAAATTTTCAGATTGAATTTTTTGCAATCCAAAACCGAACCGAAGTTGATCTGAACTGAAAATTTTCAGATTAATCTAAACTGTTCGAAGCTTTAGTATTACATTTTAAGAAATTAAAACTATTCTACAATATTTATTAAAATTATTTATATAATTTAAATTACAATTTCTTAAATTATATAATCAGCTAAGCTCTTGCTTTTTCTATAAGAACTACAAATAAAAATTTTAATCAAATTTTTAATATAATGCTAATAGTTGAATATTTATAATAAAATAATAAATTTCTATATATTTTAGATGTATTAACTTTATAAAATAAATTATACCTAAAAATTATATTATTTTAACTTTTTAATTGATTAACAATTTTTATTTTGTTAAACATATAACTTAATTAAATTTTTAAAAATTTACTATTAATTAATTCTATAAAAAAATTGTATATATAAATAATACAATAATATATTATTAATTTGTTTTTAGTAAATCTAATAAATATGTAATATAATATAATATATTTTATAATAAATTAATTTTTACACATTTTTTAAAAATAATATATATTTTCTATGAAAATATATAGAAATTATTAAAATATGTAATTTGATAATCAATTACAAATAGTATTATTAATATTAAATATTTCTTTTTTTTTCAAATTATTATAATTTTTTCTTTTTTAATAAAAATAAAAATATTTATTTTATTTAATATAATATTTAAAAAATTCCTATTTTTTTTTATATTTAAATTATTTTTATTTTTTATTTTTATAATTAAAATTAAAAAAGTTTTTTTAAGGTTAATAGATTAGTTTTTAACTTTTATAATATATTTAATATCTTTTTTTATAAATGTTAATACAGATTTTATAATAAAATAATCAATTTAATATATATTAAATAATATATTATATTTATTTTTTTTCATTTATATATTTATAAACAATTTTAAATATAAGCAGAAGATTTTTTATTGGTAAAAATAAAGTGAAAATAATAGAATATTTATTTAATATTATCAAAATTATCAGTATTGTTACAATAGTTTCATAGCTTTAATTAAAATCTCAAAGAGTAAATAAAACTAAGATAATTACTCAAAAAATCATAAGTGAGGATTCACAATGTGACGGATAAAATTTTAGATAGATTTAATTGGTAGTTTATTAAGTCCATTTTATTGCCATGTAGATCTTTTATAAAGATCAATTTGTCCATTTTATTGCCGTTGATCAATTATGTAAATCATTAGATATCAATTTTATTGCCCTTGATAATCACGTAGATTAAGATGTCCATTTAGTTGCCTGCAGATCTGGCAATTTTATTGACATGGCAACTTTATTGCCTAGCAAGATGGCAACT